GACAATAAAACAAAACAGTAAATTTATGTTATGAAACCAATGTCAGTTCTGTTTTGCTCGTCATACATTTTTAGCATCTTTATGAGATTTATTTTGTCTCCACTGAGCTGCAGCTCTGCAGAGCTTTAATTCTTCCAGTGCTGCTAACAAGTCCCAGTAAATGCTAACAGTCAGCATAATTGCGTTCCATAATCAGGAACTCTTCAGATTTGTTGAACTGTCTCACTGAAAGAGGTGTCCAAGGTCAGAAATAAACAATATGAGGACATTTTTATTTCACAGTGGCAAGATTTTCACAAGATTTTCATCTGAAGTTAAAAAACAAAAACTATACAGAAAAAGCTAAAAAAAAAAAAGTTTAATTGAAACCCAATGAAACCTTGACTCATTTGATAATAAAATTGTTCTTTAAATTATTGAACCCTATCGTGTCTGATGTTCGTCCCGTGTGTGACAACATGTTCGGTTATAGTGAACTACACACAAACATTCTGTTCACTTTATCAAAACCAGAAGTGGTACCCTTACAAAAATCACATTTGAGTGAGACGTTTGTCTACGTGTCCTTGAGACAGACCTGCGAACTGTCCAGGGTGTCCCTCGCCTCTCGCCCATCAACGCTAGAAATAGGCTGCCAATATACATATACCGGTATATATTCTTCTTCTTCTTCTTTTGTCTTTTTTCTGTTCAGGGGTTGTCACAGCGAATCATCATCCTCCATCTCTGTCCTCACTCCAACTACCTCCATGTCCTCTCTAACTGCATCCATATAGATCCTCTTTGTCTTTTTCCTGGCAGCTGCATTTCTAACATCCTTCTACCAATATACCCACTGTCCCTCCACTGGACATGTCCAAACCATCTCAGTATGTCCTCTCTACCTTTATCTCCCAGTTGTCCAACCTGTGCTGTACCTCTGATGATCTCATTCCTAATCTTATCCATCCTTGTCACTCCTAAGGAGAACTTAAACATCTTCATTTCTGCCACTTCCAGTTCTTTCTCCTGTCTGTTTGACAATGCCACCGTCTCCAGACCATACAACATGGCTGGTCTCACCATTGTCGTGTAAACTTTTCTATACTATACAACCATATTCCTGGCTTCATGCAATTCCTGTTAACAACCATCTGCTTGCAGAACAAAAAACAGCGATCGTCGCTATGGAGACCATTCGAGACCCTAATCTTTGCCATTTAATTTTAGGCTCTATAGCATAGCTTGATTTAGCAGGTATTGTCATCGGCTGTGCAGCATATCATACATGTTGTGAAGGTTTCTCTCACTGTGTGTGTTCCAATTGTTCAAACCTCTTATTTTTTGTCACAGAACCATTCAGAAGTGACTGAAATCTAATTGGTGTTTGTGATTTAGACACCGCAGCCAAAAGTCAGTATCGACAGAACCTCAAACAACTGAGCTTTCTGCACAAACACTGCTGGAATTTATGATTCATAAATGAAGACTTCATTGTGTTAATTAGAAACTTATGCAACTTATTTGTTTTAGCTGATTCATGGGATGCTTTTCTGTAAAGCATTGATGCAATACATCATCAAAACACCAACTATGTTGAAAACACACCTTTTGTTTTTAGCTTGTTCCCTTCTGTTCTGCATTATTGATATGAAGCTGTGTATATTATCTTTGAATTGCAGTTTTCCCCTTTGTTGCGGTCTTGTAATTATTCAAAAGAAATATTAAAGACAGTCGTTGAATTTTGCCAAAGTTGGAAATTATAATTCTAGTTCTTGAAGGAAAATAAAGATTGTACTGACATGACAAATAAAAAAATTCAAATAGCTTATAGGTCATCCGTCACAGAGCGAAGAGGAAGATATGGAAATACCCTTTGTTCATCCTTCTCTCCTTCCATTTACAAAAAGTAAAACCTTTTCTTGGACACTGAGGATGGAAACTCAGTGGATCATTGATTTTGTTGCTTTATTACAGAACCTGCTGAAAAATTCAGGCATTTTCTCTTGCTGTTGAGTCTGATTCAGAATGACTAGCAGCAAAGAAAACAGGCCAGAGAGGCAGACACAGAGGACGCCGTCATCTCTGAAACCATTCTTCTGAAAAGCTTCTTACCTCAGCAGGCAGTTCTTTCAGACAACTTTCTGAAAGGCTGCTTCCCAAGAAAGACGTCTCAGCGAGCATTACTGTGCTATTACCCAGCTGTTAAAGGAAAAACCGCTCCTCTGTTAATGGATAACATCACTCATGCTTGATGATCTCATTAAAGCCACTTGTGGATATTTTGTAGATCCTCTATAGAGATGGAGTCTAATCATGGCCAATAAAAGAGAGGATAAGCATCATTCTGATTGTTTTCATTCAAAAATAAGCTAATTACAGTGTTTTTAATAGAAGCTCAGCTGAAGCAACAGTCTGCCCAATTTTCCATGCTGGGTTCTCACATGTTATGAAGCATAAAGTTGTTTTGGAGTGTAACCGAGACCCTCCTCTCATGTTTGCGTATCTGCCTTTCATGTCGCTTGAGATGTGCTGCTGCAGAAAATATCTCATTGCCTCTTTACAAATCAGAACCTCTGGGATATCCAGCAATGCCAGGTGGCAACAGATTTATCTGTCAAGTTCATACCTTTCATGATATGAAGGCAGCAACTTTGAAATATCACATTCACCTCACATGCACGTCCTAATATCACAGCTGATGTAGCTGTGACCCAGCAATAATGTTTTACAGCCGGATGCTTCACTGTGCAAACAGTACCTGTTGCATAATGCAGCTGCTGGCGTGACAGATTTGCCTCCATCTTTTTAATTTTTATTCTTTTTGCGTGCTTGATGTCAGTGCAATGCACAGGTGTTGCTGGTTGTCATGTTCTGCGGTTGCTCTTATTCTGGGTAAAGCAACAATCCACCAGCAGTGTCAAGCAGGACACACAACTTCACAGTAAGTCCTTCACAGTAAGAGTCTTCAACATGTACACTGAGCGTTGCTTTAAAAAGACTCTAAACACCAGCAACTAATAAAACAATATTGTTACTGTTGTTATTCAACAGGGACAAATGCAGCAAACAATATTTCTCATCATCATAATATTTCAAAGCAGATGCATTGTGTGAGGCTAAAAGCTAATAATTTCCACAACAACCACCGTGTGAGCCTCTCCTTTATACTCACCTGTGAATGTGGCTGAAAAAAATAACCACACCAACAAAAACAATAATGAGGTTATGACAAGGCTACTTGGCACAAGTGATTCTCAAGCTGTAGTACACCAACTTTTCCACCGTCCAACCAAAATACAGAAGTCCCCCGATTATTGCGGTGGTTAAGTTCCAGACACCACTGAGATCGGGGAAAAACAGTGAAGTAGGAACAATATATTTATTTTAGTATTTATATATACAGTATTTCAAGGCTTGATAAACCCTTCCCACACTCTTGCAACGTTCTTAATGTTCTAATTTTAACTACATACGTACATGTACCAGTGAAGATACTACAGCTTGAAGGATGAGTTCAGCTTTAGGATTATTTGTTAGTTTCCTGCCAGTTCTGTGAGTTAATAGATAGATCGTTGCTTCTGACTCTGCAATGCAAAACTATTTTTACCACACCGGTTTCTCCACTACTGTTAGCTACCTCCATTGCTGTTCTTTTTGGCAGAAAGCACTGTTGGCTTCTGGGACATGTAGTTCTTTTGACTTGCATTACAGTATACAATAATTGAAAGAAAACTACAAAATGGTGGCACCTGTCCTATTGGTTGGTTCCCGCTCCCGTCACCTTTTTATCCCATACCGTCCCAATCATGTGAGTAATATTAAAATTGACAATCATGTGTCGTGTACAATCGTGTAGTGGTCAGAGCAGTCGTCCTGTAATACAAAAGTTGGGGCAAGACATTGAACCCCTCGTTGCCTCTGATGTGTGTCCCATCGGTGTATGAATGTGATAAAGCACTGATTAGTCTCTTTTGAATGATTTGTTCAATTAGCTTTGCAGAGATCTAGTAGAGTGCTGTATGAATGGGTACATGAGGCACATATTGTAGTGTAAAAGGTTTCGAGTGTCTTGATAAGATAGAAAGACGCTATAAGTACAGTCCATTTAGCATTTACAATCTTACGTTGAAAACCCGCGAAAGAATGAGTCCACAAATGTCGAACCACAAAGTATCAATGGACTACTGTATACAAAGTAAACGTAACAGGAACACGTCATGATGTTTACCGTTTATGTCACAGTACTTATTCTTCACAGGGATAGTATTTCACACTTTCGTTTGTATTCAGGACACCAGAGATACACACGTTAAAGTCAGATTTTTAATGCCTACCTTGTGGAATGTGGTCCACTATTTGCATACTATAGAACCCCAGCATCTGCTTACTGGTGTTCAACCTAAATGTGGACAGAATATCTACTCTAAAGGCACGAGGAGTAATACCAAATTCTGCATGTGGTTACAGGTTTCAGAGGCTTGATCTGATCAAACCCAGTAGCTCTGAACACAAATGGTTGAACACATAATGGATGGCAAAGACCTAAATTAATACATAAAGATAAAAATGTAACCAAAAAAAAAAAAGGCTTAATGCTTAGAAGTGTCTGATGTTTTTCCTCTTTATTGCTTTTCTTTGACATGCTTCACAAAAACTGTAATGAAAAAGACAATTACATTATTTTACTGATATACTTTGTAGAAAGCAACACTAGCAAAACTAATTAAAAAAATATTGCTTAAAAACATGCATTTATAACGACGCAAATTGGTTTTAAGCAGTGATGAGAATTCTCTGCTGCTGGCAGTTCCATTTTTCTGTGTTCTGATGAACTAATATGTATCTGACGTGTTTGCCTTCAGAGAGAGAATGGTTCACTTTTTTAAATTCTCATTTATAAAATCAGAATAAACACAGTCTGTCCTCTCTGGAGCTCTGCTGTAGGTTTGTCTGAGCCAACAGTTTTCCCTGGCAAAGCCGCGTCGCCTCTTCACTGAGCACCTGTCCTTTCTCTGTAGATGTGTCGGTGAGCCTGTTGTCCCTGCTGGTCACCACTTGTGGTCTGGCGCTTTTCAGCGTCTCCCTTTTCGTCTCATGGAAGTTGTGCTGGGTGCCACTGAGTGGTCGCTTCCTCCCAGATGTCCTCAAAGGGGCGCACTTCTTGGGAGGCGACCAACAACCAGTCCTCACAGAGGTAAGGAGTCAGACTCAAACTGGTGTTTGAGGAAATTTAAAATACAATTTTAAGGAGGTTGAGTCTCTGTTGAAGGATGAATCCTCTGGATGGATTCTTCTTTGTTGAAATGCTTTGTCTTTTATCTAAATGACATCTTCAGTCTTTTGAATATAAGATGAAACATTTCAATAAAGAAGAAGAATCCGTCCAGAGGACCTGACTCAACCTTGTGAGATTCATCCACCTGGATTATTGAGCATGCATCAGGACATTAAGATACAGTTGTTGAAAAATAAAAGCATTTATTGTTTCGATAAAAATCCTCCTGGGACACTTTTGTTTAAATCCTTTGTTAAAATTCCAGTATGATCCAGAGTCTGTTTGCAGTTTCAGAAATGTTTGGCTCAAACTCATACAGCATTTAATACAACGTGTCCCACTCTTACAGAGTCTTCTACAGTTCTATTGTTCAAAATCAGGGCTGACGCAACATACCATTTCACAACAAAATGAATATGACTAAAATTATTATCAATAAAACTGTTTCAGGATTTAAATTATAATGTAAATTTTTTGGTACCATTTTACAATAAGGCTCCCTTTATTGATATTAAACATTTCAGACTAAGTTACTACCTTGTAAGCACAAAAAGCATCTGTAAACCTATTTTTTTAGCATATAATATTATACTTTATCACTGCATTATAAGCATTTACAACTATATATATACTTATAATGCAACAATAAAGTACAATATGCTAAAAAATAGGCTTACAAGGTAGTAACTTAATGTTTAATATAACAACTCTACATGAAATATATGGGTGGCAGATATGGCTCACTATTTGGCAAGAAACTGGTCAGTTTTCTCTTTCTCACCCTTAATTAATGCATAATAAGCAGTTATTAATGATTTATAAAGTATTTTTAGAGGAATTAATAGCATATCTATAAACCATTTATTATAAGGGGAGTCTTACTGTAAAGGGGTGTCAAGTTTTTTAATCCTTTGGAGTTTTATATATTCATAGCAATATCTTGATATTTGGGCTCATAAGTACTACTGTAAAAGTAAATATATGTAAGCAAAGGTGTCAAATACCACTACCAATTCAAAGGTCATGGTCAAAAATCAAATTTGACCATTCACAAACATCTTTAAAGATTTAAGCTCATTTTCATTTGAGTTTTTGGTGGATTGTCTTACATACATTTGGTAACTTTTACCAATACAGCAGACTTGTGCCCACACCATGATACCACCACCAGCACCACAGTATTTAACTAATTCAATTAAACTTTTCCACCATGATGCTCTATTTTTATTTGCCACATCACACATTTTATTTGCACCATAAAGTCTTGTCCATCTTCCGTGTATATTCCAACAGTATTTTGTTTCATCTATGATCTTAAAGAAAGAAGAAATTAGTAGAAGTCTTAATTTAGAAGATTTATTAATATTTTTCTTGTAGCTCAGGCTTGTTAATTAGTTTATTTAGAGTTGATCTGGTGAACATTGCCATTAGTGATCATAAGAGAGACCATTTTGTTTAAAGTTTAGGAGTCAAGTGATTACAGACTTTATCGCTGGCATCTGTTGGTTAACCAGTTTTTAGTAGGGAAAAAAATAATCCTTTAAGTTTAGATCACTTGTACTCAAATCTGATTTGCATCTAAAACTATTGGAGTCCAAAATGTCTAGGTGATTTTTGTCACCCCTTGCTCCCTTGTTAGATATAGAAGACTAAAGAACATAGTTTAAATAAACAAAACCATGAGCATCATCTCACTTAATTAAAATATTTGTCTTCAACTTCTTTTCCACATCAAGACATATCCTAAAGATTTGTATACTTGTTTGAAACACACACAAAATCCTGGTTCATTTCCTACTAGAATGAAAGCTTCAGGCTGAACTTTAGTCTCATTTTTGGATTCTTGGATAAGTGGATTCCATGTGTCAATCTCCAGAAAAACATGTTGTCATTTCACAAAATTTGAAATCAGAAATATGTGCAATGATCCATATAGATGTTAATTATTTTTTCTAAATACTGGAAAATATCACAGTAATGACAAGGATTTATCAAAAGCAAAAAAAAAAAAAAAAAGAGAGAGCTGTTTCCAACTGTTTGTCTCTCTAAACTACCACTGCCAATGTGATTAATTTTTTTAGGTGGATGGAGAGGAAAGGGAGTACAGTGAGGATGGCTGTGTAAAGGAGCCTCCGGGTCCCCCGTTGGCTGTGGCTGTTCCAGAATCAGCCCTAAAGATCAGCCACACATCGCCCGACATCCCACTGGAGACCCAGACTAAGGTGGAGAGAAACCAGGTTCACACTCTGGCCAGGGACAGGGTTCAGAGGCAGATTACTGAGCCTACATCGTCTGTACGGTCAGTACACATGAAAACCTGAAAAATGAGTTGAATTTAGGTGATGAATGCAGATGTTTCCTCCACAAACATCTCAGCATGTGTGTGTACTTTACCAGGTGGTAGACACACAACTGGCTTGAAATAAAAAGAAGTGAAGTTTACAGAATGTTCAGTGTAAAAAGAGCTGATGTATAACAAGTTCAAACTTCTTTCCTGCAGGCACAACTCCATTCGTCGTCAGATGAACTTGTCCAATCCTGACTTCAACCCTGCTCAGTTCCAGCGTCAGGACTCCCTTTCAGGTTTGGGTCGAATCAAACCAGAACTGTACAAGCAGCGGTCGGTGGATGCGGAGGACGGCCGTCGGACCAACAGCTGTGGGCGCCTTTACTTCATCTTAAAATTTGACTTTGATCTGGAGCAGCTGATCGTGAAGATCCACAAGGCCCTGGACCTGCCCGCCAAGGACTTCTCAGGGACCTCCGATCCTTACGTCAAGATCTACCTGCTGCCTGACCGCAAAAACAAGCACCAGACCAAGGTGCACCGCAAAACTCTCAACCCCGTGTTTGATGAGGTGTTTCTTTTCCCCGTGGCATACTCGGAGCTGTCGAACCGTAAATTGCACTTCAGCGTCTATGACTTTGACAGGTTCTCTCGCCATGATTTGATAGGCCAAGTGGTGGTGGACAACTTCTTGGATCTGGCTGACTTTCCGCGGGAGACGAAGCTGTGCCGGGACATACAATATGTCACCTCGGTGAGAACATCAATCTTCTTCTCTAAATTCTGTCTGTCTTTCTTTCTTTTCTTCTGCACAATTACTTCTTTACAGCTCTTATCAGTGAGCAAATGAGCAGCTTTTCAAGTGACTCAATTTGCAGATCTGCTAAACCTGCAGTATCATATAAGCTTAAATGCTCATTTTTTGCAGTCGGTACAAATCTGCCCAAACAATTAAAACAAGCATAAACTGTGCTTGTCTTTGACAAAAGCAGAGGGGTTACATATATACCAACTACCTTGTGTCTTATTCTCAGTCCCAAATGGAAATGATCTGCAGTTTGAGAGGCGAAGACACAGAAATATACTTAGAGGCAGTTAATGTTTCATGAAAGCAGTAGAAGACACTTGGGGGTAGTGACCCAGATCTACAGTGACATAAGACTGGGGTTGACAGAGAAACAGCAACCTGTCCAGATTACATAATTCACTTAGATTAAATCTATTGAAGAGGAATTTTGGTTCTCCTGCCAGGAAATCCTTTACGGTTTGCCTTACTCATTTAGAGAAAACTGCAGCTCTACACGGCTCATTTGAGACATAAAAACTGTTTTTGTTTTGTTTTGTTTTTGTCACTCAGCTGTGTCAAATCACAATAATCTGTGATCATGAACCTGTTTACACATAATCAGGTTACAGTAGTCCCTCGATTATCATGGGGGTTGCGTTCCACACACCACCGCGGTAGGTGAAAAATGCAAATATTTTAGTATTTTTAAAATATTTTAAGACTTTATAAGTTCTAGAATTGCGCCACTCAAGGCGGCTGCATGTTGGAGTAGCTTTGTTACATTCATTCTGGGATGTTGCTTTTGAAAACTTTAATTCCTCTTTTTTTCTGGATGTAAATCACATTTTTTGGATGATTATTTCCTCTGATATCAGATGATGTGCAGCTGGAAGGATTTTTACTGAAACCTTTTTGCTTTTGGATATCTGTTATGATGCGTAACCATGACAACAAGGTGGTTATTACAACAGGGAGCAGCTGATTAACATCTCCAAAGCTCAAATAATATCTTTGCTACAGCCTCAAATCACAAATGAGTTAAAAACGAGGTGCCGTGGATGCATCCCCATCTACCTGGCTGAGGTGTTTGAGTACCTGACCGCTGAGACCCTGGAGCTAGCAGAAAACGCTAGTCGTGACTACAAGAAGACCAAGATCATCCACAGACACCTGCTGTCTGTCCGCAATTATGAGAAGCTCAACAAGTTGCTGGGAGGAGTGACCATCGCTCAGGAACGAGTTCTGCCCAAGATTCAGGAGGTCCTGCTGCCCAAGAAGACTGAGAAACCCACCAAGTTCCAGTAGACAGATCAACATCTGCAGTTTCTTCAGATCTGCTGTAAGACAGATCGCTTCAAGAGATCCTTCCTGTGCACAGCCATCAGCATCTATAACAACTCTAATGAAACCAGGATGATGAGTTACAACATTTAACTTCCCTTTGGGTTTAATAAAGTATTTTTGAATGGAATTGAATTTAAACCCTTCCCACACTCTTGCAATGTTCTAAACACTTAAACCTATGTAATTGTAACAACATGTACTGTACAGTACTGCAAATTTTTACTCACCAGCTCTGCAGACCAGCAGCTCAGTTCCGGTCTGGGCAGACCTACACTGCAGCGACGACGCCCACCGCCCTGTCCAAGTTGATGTGCGCGTGGATAATTGAGCTTCAGGAAGCTTCAGGATTATTTGTGACTTTCCTGCCAGTTCTGTGAGCTTCATAGATAACGTAGATTTGCATTGCAAAAAAACTTTCCCTCCATTTTGGCAGAATGCAGCGTCTGGAAGCACTGTTGGCTTCTGGGTAGCGTAGTTCTTTTGACTGGTTTTACAGTATAGATTTATTGAGAAAAAAAATTTACAAAATGGCAGCACCTGTACAATTTTTTTGTCCGTTCATTTTTTATCCCATACGTCCCAATCACGTGAGTTATATGAAAGTTTACAATCGCTGAAAACCCATGAAAAAGCGAGTCCGTGAAAGTCAAACCACGAAGTAGCGAGAGACTACTGCCATGACCAAGCCATGATTACCTCTAGGTATTCTGTTTATTTGATGAGTTTTTCACAAACTGGTAGTGCAAGTATGTAACTAATTAAGTTTTAGATATTTTTGACCTTGCATCAATACAAAATACATGCATTTTTATATGCCAATCAGTGGCGAGACATAGTCTAATTTTAACTTCTGACTCGCTCAAGTTAATTTCACGAAAAATACATACAACATACACACATGCATCGTTGCTAGACGGAGTATTGCGAATACTTTTCAACCCCTCAAAATCAAGGTCACAAATGAGGTCAAATGTTATACAAGGCTTGTCCAGGCCATTGCTGCATAAAAGATCGTCAACCGGCGAGTAATGTGATACTCTTGTTTCATAATTCACAAGAGTTAAAACAATATGACATTCAACTTTGAATAAGTAGTAAAAAAATAAAACATGAAGTATCATGGCCTAGTTTTTGATATAGTACGTACAATCCCAATTCTGAAAATGTTTGGCATGTTGTATAATGTGCAAATAAAACAAAACACAATTATTTGCAAATCTTATAAACCAATATTGTATTCACAATGGAACACAGTAAACTGATCCATTTTGGTGGAAAATATATAAATTTACATTATACTTGACAACTTTTTAGAATTGGGTTTGGAAGATTTACCTGCATCTTTTGTCTTTGCTTTTACTAATGATCTATTAGAAAGTCGTTATTCCTGTCACATTAAAATCACTTTCACCCTTTAAGTACAAGTATATGCTGTACATGTTTTTGGGTAATTTTTTAGCTTTAAAAAGATTAGTTCATACTTCTCTATTTCTTTGAAATATAGAAAGTTTGCGCACAGTAGTTTACTTTTTTGTTTTTTAAAGAACAGATGCTAAACTTAGGTAAACTCATAAGCAACGGGCAAAGTTAGATCTTTGATTGCAATATTGTGCCTGTAAACATATACACAAAGAAACGAGGTCAACAGACTGCTAATTTAATCAATGTTTTTGCACTGTTTACCACAGGAATGAAAGCAGCAAAAATTGCTGTTCTGAGAGGATTTCTGAAGTCACTGCAGGCTACACTGGGCAATTTTTCACCCTGAAAAACACCAACTTATTCACAGTGGCTACATTTTTTTTCAGTCTTTGATTTCATCTTCTTAAATTTTTAGTTTTAAACTTACAAAAAAACAAAACACTATTGTCTTTTACATGGATTTTTGACAGTTTATGCTGCAAATTTATCTTTTCCTAGCTCCAAATGTTGTAAAAACTTGACCAGATTCCTCAGAAAGCAAAGACGAGCTCATTACTTTTCAATGTTCTACCACACTAAACGATTATAGAAACACCATTAAACATTACACCTGTAAATTATTATTACCTGGTTGTGTTTTCTAAGATAAGCGTTTAGCTCAAACCAAACCAAGGTAAGCTGACCACAAGATGAATAGTAGTCTGTAGCTAAAGCATGAGCTTGGTTTATTTTCTGTTTTCTTTAATTAAAATGTTGAGTAGATTACTGATTTAAATCAACATGCTTTGACTTGCTACTGCTGTATTCTTTGAGTAGTTTGAGATGTTTTTTATGGGTGTTGCTAAAGCTGTTTCATTACCATTATGTCCTTTTCTGCAAACAAGTAACTGTAGTTTAGTGTCTTGCAAATTTGTAGCATCTGGCTCCAGTTATTGTTGGTTGATGTTCACGATCATTGCATAAAGAGCCACTAAACATGAGACACAGCAAGCATTTTACCATTTTTATCTGTTTATGATCACAGTTTGTTTTACCTGGAAACAAATACATGTATGACAAAAATGTCATGAGAATAAAAAAAAATAATAATAATTCTGTTGAACTTGACTATTATAAATCATCTAAACCACCGTGGGGTTGTACAGCTTTTTCCAGAAATGACAGAAATTAAAAAAACGTTTCAGATTATGTATCGATTATTAGAAACTAAAAAAAAAAAAATCACTTTCCAGATTATATATAGATTATATAGATCAACACAAATGAGCCCCAACAGATAATAAAATGCCCTAATAAAACAGCCTGATATTTATGATTGAATTAAAAGGCACACGATTTAAATACGACACAGGTTGCAATTTTGCACAATATGTTGCTAGGCAACACAGCGATCGTTAACGAGAGTTGGTGCTTTTTGAAAGTGAGCAAACTCCTGCACTTTTCTGATCCTTTACTCACTTGAAAGACAAAAACCCACTGTCCAAATTCAGAAATTGTGATTTTTAAAGTACCCATGGCAACAGCACAACTGCAAACAACAAACACAAACAAACCCACATGGTGAAAATTATATAGGCTATTTTTTAGTTGCTTTTATAACAGCAAGTAGTCTGGAAGAACAGGTTGGCTGAATATGTAGTTTAAATTCAAGCAGCGACACAAGTTAGTTCAGAAACTGGGAGAGTAAAGAACGAAAAGGTCGGAATGTGAAAAGGTGAACCAGCCTTATAGCTCAATAATGTGATGAAATGAAGACATGAGGTCTGTGCAACCACCGGCTGCAGGATTCAACACAGGTTTTTTTTTTTTTGTTTTGTTTTGTTTTAACCAAAAGAAGAAGATCAGTGATGATGCACAGCAACATTCAAGGTTCAAAGTTCAAGGTTCAGGTGGAACAAAATTGTGTAGTCAAAGTCTCAGTTACACCCCAAAATAGCAAAAATATAAAGTATAAAAAGAAACAGTATGTAAGAATCTAAGATATACACTAAGATATATGCTAAACGAACGCCAAACGATAAGCTAAAAATCCAAGATATACGCTAAATACTAATAATGTAAAATCATTAAAACAGCAGCCTGAACATGAGTCTGTAGTGAGCAGATGGGTATGAACACAGCAGCATAAAGGCAAGAGATCAGCAGCATGGATAATCAGCAGCACAGATAAGTCGCATATCATCAAAGTGGCATTACAATGA